CGCTTTCTTTGTTTGGTTACGGAGGTTGCTGTCAACGTGACGTTTCCCAGTTCTAATGAAGGCGAAATCCGCCGAAACGTCAGCTTATTCGTAAATAAAGAATGAAAATAACACCCCGCGTTTGCACAACAAGAATACGAAGAATTACTTAATCAATGCCGATGTTAATAGAAAATTGGTCGTGGGAGTTACTGTCTTTGTGTCTGCGTAGCGTTGGGGAAACCTCAGTAGCCCTGTCGCTGGTTTGTGACAAAGATCTTTGTGGTAAACCTTTTAACATGCAAGAGCATTAACAGGATTATAGATGATACAGGAAAACCAGGAGCAGCAGTTTTTCTACATCACGTTTCGTTTATCTGCTACGATTTGTGCATGTAGAGTAAAAAAAATGAAGTTGCTTCGACGGAAACATAACTAAGTGATTGCAATTGTTTTGAGAGTGTGAAGATTTGTGATTAAAGGACGGCGAAAATTTAAGAAGTCTTCAACAACGCTATAGTGTTAACCATTTTGGTGATACATGGAAAGCATTGGGTGTTCTACGACATTTGAAAAAGGAGGTGTTTTTTGATCGGCAATTGTAAGACTGGAAGTATCTTTTAGCCGAGCTTGATATCATCATTGAGCCTGCAGATTATTTCAAAACCTATTTCCGTTTGCTCACCTAGTATTCACTAAACGAGTTCTTATCACCTGATCTGATGAAGTAAGAGCGTCCTTTGAATAATTCGAGGAAAGGTTGTGAACCGCCAGAGAACACCTGGCAGAGACTGAAGCTCTTAGTTTCATTATGAGAATGAGCAAAGAAGGAGAATACAGGGCCTCAATGTTTGAATAGAAGTCTGAAGTGAGTATAGACTGTGCTCACTTAACTCCTCCTCCAAACGTGGAAATTATCTCAACGAAAAATTACGAAAGAGCGTAAGCAAAGCCGTGGAAAAAGTAGGAAAGGTGTAATTAGTTACTGTGACTGAGATGCGTGTCATGGAAATCGTATAATTTCAATTGGTCAGATCTGTTCATATGTCGTTTCCCTAGGTATTTCGACTAACTGGAGGTGATATGCATACCACCAAATCTCAGTAGTTTTGCCTCTTGCTACATAGACTACTAGAAGAGCACTAGAGAGGGTTCGACGAGAGCAGAAAGCAATGTGAAGTCGTTCAGGTCAACTGAAAGCAGTGCGGGCTGCTTTCCGAATTGTGATAGGCAGCTAAGACCTTAAAAAATACGCTTGAACAATGTCTTTTGGAGATAAATCTGTTCTCACGGCATCAAATCAAACTACTCACCTTGGTCCTTCGTCAAGGTTTTTTTCAGCGATCAAACGCCATTATGTTATTAATTCGCAGGCACGCTGGATGAGATGTCAGGGTTTCAAGCGAATGATAACCGTGCTTTTCGGCGATCGCCTACAAAATGAGCGGACTGTTTGTAGCCGATGTAAATTCGTTCTCTATGCAGCAGGTTATAATCCATGAAACGCGTAATTACATTTGTTGACGTCATAGTATTGAATACTTGATTTTATTTCCACTACAAATTACAATGTAGACAACGAGCTGCGTCAGGAAGGTGTACTGTCCTATCACAATCGAAGATATCTGATTCACATGAAGGAAGTTCACCCCATCAAATTCTTTCGTTGCTATCGTGAACCACCCGAAAAAGCTTCTCTATTGTTTCAAACGTGGTTTGGGCAGAGTTATCTGGCCGCCCCCTCTTATACCGGCTTGTAATTATGCACTAGAAAAATAGACTTTCCTCGATAGCTTATCACTCTTTGATATATCAGCTGGAGTAAACACTGGTGTGAGTTCTGTTTTCATGGATAGCCTTCTCTACAGCTCTTTACCTTCCATAAATGCAAAAAAACTTTATAACTAAAGCTTTATACAACCACAACGTTGCTGAGATATTTGCAAAACTCTGGACTGCAGGTGTCTATGGTGCGAAACGAACGCGCTATTGTCCTTTCTGGGGAGTAACTCGTTCACCACCACACCATGCGGGTCCTTCGTTTCGCTTGTCTCTCAGCTATTTCTATCGATTTTTTGCATGGTGTAGTGGTGAACGCGTTACTCCCCGGAAAGGACAATAGCGCGTTCGTTCCCCACTATAGACACCTGCGGTCCAGAGTTTTGCAAATATCTCAACAACGTTGTGGTTATATTTCGCTTAGTACCCTGCCGCGAAATTATAGTAGGCAGAAAATAAAAAGGTATAACATTTTAAAGCTTTATATTTCATTGTTGACCAACAATAGGTTTGAGCAGCTTTTTTATTCAAATTCGAAATACTTCCAAGCCATTGTGTTCTTCAGCAATAAACTGAAGTTTCGTTAAAAATTTATAAATTTTATTAGTGGTTTGGTTCTTACAAAAGCAGTTTTCATGTCTGCAATTTACCGGGCTGAAATCGGAATGGCTTCTTCGAAATGCAAATAAGTTTTCGAAATTAGCTTAGTAATCCAAAAACTTGTGAATAAGTATTTCCAGAATCCTAGAAAATTAGAATGATAACACGGCTTTGCGTACCACATGTACCTATGTGCTTAATGAACAATTCGTTAACATTTTTGAATCCCTTCATATCAAAAGTTTATTGTCTCATTCCATCTGGTAGTTTTGCTAAGCACGAAACTGTGATCTACAGTTAAAGCTTAATCCTTCAAAAGTATCTCTTATTGCTGAGAAAGAGGTCGTGATTTCCATTTGCATGTTCAGATCATGGTAAGCACACGCTATAACAGAGCCAGAGCGAGCAAATCGTGAGTTTGATGAAGAAAAAACAGTAGAAAAGGAGTATCTTAGAAGTATCATCATAGTCCAGACCGCAAGTGTTTGCGGTGGGAAACGAACGCGCTATTACACTTTCTGAGGGCTAACGCGCTCACCGCCATACCACGCGGGTTTGTTTTTCATCATTGTGTCATGAAAGCGTAATACTCTTGGTCTTTCTCGAACCAGCGGAGCACATTGGGCAACCTTTGAGTGGACCACGATCGATTGAGTGTTACTGGCAACCGCTCGAGTTACTGTGCGATTAACAACATTATAGGTGATAGGTACTACTAAGGAACAAGGTCGACGAGTAGAGTACTCATTCTCAATCGCTCCAGTAGTGATTGGCTTCACTTTCTTCATGCTCTTTCGATTCTTGTTAGAGATTTTGTCAGTTTCCTTCGTACTATTCAGCTCTCGTAAGTCGCCACAACTTCTTAACAATTAAGTCAAGTAGTTTTTAAAAAAATGCAAGCTCAGTGGTGTTTTGCTTTGAGGTTGACCAAGGTTGAGAGAATAATTATTTATAATATGTAACAAAATATTCGATCACAACAATTCAAAGGCAACACCAGCTTCGTTTCTTGTTCGTCGGCTCCATTTCTAATTTAAGTGCATCATGTAGTTGCTGTTCTTCACGTTTTTGTAAACGTCTGAAAACTCAGATGTAAATAAAAAAATTATCATTTGCTGCAAAAATGTATACAGTACCTTGAAGTACTGCAGAAATGATAGATGCATGAGAAATCCTCATACGAGAACAAATGGCGTTCAGAACGAATTTTTCACTTTGCCTACATGGTTGTATCGAGCTAGTGCTGTTATCCACCCAGACAATTCTGGTATTAATTTGCCTATCCTCGAGACTACGACCGCTGAGCCACACGCGAGCCTTATTTTTACCAATATGCCTACATGGTTAGGTATATTTTAAACACTCGCTTAAATAGTTTAAACTTGAACATAACGGAGTCGCGGATTTCCTATAATGATTTAAGGACTTTGCTCGTGAAACGGTATAGCGGAAAAGGATTGAATGATCCCATACTTGGCTTAATATATAAATTATATAAATTAACTGCTATGTGACACTGATACACTCCTCCTTTAAGTATCTGCTACATTTGGATGTACCGTCTTCACGTATCTTGCCGATCCAACACTTTTCCATTTCGTATTGCGACCCGAACGGCTATGGATAATCGCCTCTGATCAAACCGGCTCCGAAGAAGATGAAGATGTCGAAACGTTAGCCGAAAAAATTTTTTTAACGAAACTAGTAGTGGATATTTGTAAGCAAAGCCATGAAAGTGAGACCCCTTAATCGTCCAGCCACAAATGAGCCTCTAATAACACGGAGCAGACAAGTATGCGAAGTGCTAAAGCCCATCGTCATTCTAAGCTTTTCCAATCTATAAAGAGTAGGGTGAGGATCTGTACTCAAGTGCACGTTAATATTACAATCCTATCTTGGGAGCCTGATAATGCAAGCTAGGACAAGTGCTAGACCCAAACACGAAGATGCCATGCACTAAACGTCGTTTATTTACCACAAAAGATTTTTTTACCCAGAAACATATGATGGGTCAGAAACCAATGGAGATGACGACTCTAAGTACGCAAATTTTGCAGTAAGCACCGGTGGCGCGAATATCTCCAGACTCTGTGAACCATTGCTTACTGTCAACTTCTGACATCCAAACGTAGTTGTCACTGCATGGAGTAAAACAATGGAGTAGATCGTTAGTGATTTCCTCGTCGGTGACTTCGAGCGCCACGTTCAGTGCCCACTTGCTTCCACCCCATATGAGAGGATAAAGTTTAACATTACACCCTACGATTCTTTTTGGCGATTCCTTGGAAACTTCTATCGAACCCAAGCAGCATAAGAGGACAGTCGGTGCCATCGAACACGCTACTGAGATGATGAGATCACTAAGAATATGCTTTTCTTAACCACCACCAGTGGATAACGTCTATTAGTGATTGGGCGTCACAAGTTTACAAGGGCATTTCTAACTTATTTAGTTCAACCTCAAAAAAACTTTATGGTTTATATATTTATTCAATCACTTCGAAAATAACAAATAAAGTATAGGTCACTGTGCATTCTTAAGAGATTGATCAACGTCAAATGCTTCTTGCTTTACCAAAACGCAACGTATAGTTTAAAAATGTGGAGGAGAACATTGGAAGTGACTTACTCGGCTATTGATCTCATGCAATGATCGATTCCATATCCTGTATAGGCACTGGTCTCATAAAAAGGCATGTTGAACTCCTAAACATTAACACACGGAACGATAATATTCTATTACAAACAAGTCTCATATGATTTGCGCTGCTGGAGTGGAATCCACTGCAGTTGCATTAGATTTTGTCAGCTGATACTCCGAACGAACCCAGTTACTTACATTAAGAATTTGTTCACCCATTAATACTAAATGTCTTGAAATGCTGTTGTTAGGTGCATTAATTGGTTTTTCCTTTTTTGAAAAATCGACATTCAGTCAGCTAAGCAATCGAATGCGTCCAGTCGTCAAATGTGAAAACTCGCATAAATTGACTCGCGACCACTCCCTTTTTTATGGTTAGCTAAATCACTCAAAAGATTCCTTTTCTATTAGTATTAAACATAAAATTTTTGGTTACAACGGAGCTCGAAGTGAACTATTTTCGAAGGCCTCTACAGGACAGGACGAAAAAGGGCTCACTTCAGCGAGCTTCTTTCCTGCTCTGAACACAGTGCTGCGGGTTGACTCATTGCCGAACAGATCGACCTGTGAAGACGTTTGAACATGATTTGGGTTCAAAAAAAACTATAAATCATCCGAAAAGTTGATTTATTTTGATAAATTGAAATATAATATAGGGAATATGGGAAATATAGGAAGCAGATAGCACAGTGGTAGTGATTTCCTTCAACACGAACATGGTCGTCTCATCTCTCCGGGGTCGGAAAATTGATGTCGAACTTTTCTGGGAAAAAAATCACTCTCTGCATTCCAATTGGAAACGCTCCAGCTCGGCTATCTCAGGACTCCAGGGAGAATTGCTCGACCAGCATTCTGCCACACTCCATCAAGATGAAATCAAAATTTTTAAGCAGTAACCGAAGCCACACTTAAAACTTGGTAGATCTTCGTGGACAACTGACCACAAAGTAGATGTGAAGACAGGTCACATAAAGTAAAAACGATAAAAAATCGAAATATGTCAGTGCGTAAAAAGCCACTACGTGCAAAATATCTACTTTCTATTGTGGTACAGGAAACGGAGCAGAAAACGTGCTGAACGAAAGCAGATGATTTTACGAAATATCATTCATGATGTTTCTTTCTCGTTTGCATAGCAGAAAAGACTACGTTAGAAAATAATTTGCCACCTAATAAACACTGATTAGGAGAAAAGGAGAGCTTCGTGGGTGCCGAACAGCAACTTACTTAAAACGGTTCATTCTCCATATAGTCTTTCAAAGTGAAGAGAAGTACGAAATTTCAACCCGTAATCCCAGATAATAGCGAATCAGTCCAAGGAATCATTGGCATCATAGCACTAACATAGTCGCTATATGATAACTGATGGCAACCGGTAAAAACAGTAGCACGCCTTGTGGAACTCCACGGAAACGAGGAGAATCGTGTTCAACAAGAAAATTTACAGCTGGTTGGAAAATACGATAGGATGTCACGATTCTTTGTGATTTGTGAAGTCAGATTAGCCAATTATTCAACAAAGTAAGTACTTCTGGTGGGAGCCACATACAAATCTAACGTTCTTAACATAATATTATAGGTTAACATTCTAGAAAATACCCACGTTTCTTATGACTTTAGAAAATATAAATTATTGTTCTCTCTCTGAGATCCGCTTAATACTTGATAAACGACCTAAGAGCAGAGCAGGAAGGAGTGCCGTTAGATATACAGTTTAACATTACGCACATGGTCTCAGTTTCGACCCTGTGCCGATCCAATGAGGCTTACCATCCATTTAGGGTCGATGGATTAACACCACATCGGTCAGGGAAAGCTCTCTGAAATACAAGTAGGCGACTGCCTAAGTGGTTGAGGCCAGAGGACGCTGTAATAGGTCTAATCCAGGATTACAGAGAGAATCAGCCTTTAACGACATCCATAAAAAGGACAAAATTCTAGACTAGCAATAGATAAAAATGCGATAACATTTATAGGTCACAAGTATGAGACAACGAACTGAATCAATGAAGTGCTGCGGTCCACACAGTATGTGAAGTTTTGTCATATTTCTAAAAAATCAACAAATAATTCGAAAAATGAACTACTCGGTCAACCTTGTTGCCGACCAGTGCCATTATTGTCGTCTCATCAACTCCTAACCGTACTGATTCGATCCAATTTCGTACGTTCAGGAAACTCTGTTCTGACGTAACATCGAATAACACCAACACACCATCAGCCTTTCGAAAATATTGCCTCGTTATGGATCGAAATCTAAACAATAAAACTAACTATGGCAATAATCAAAGGTACGTTAAATATCGCTGATCAGGTTAGAATGCTATGTTGAGGTCATCTTTTATTTATATCCTTTTTATTTTTCCACGACATTGTTGCCTGTTCCCAGATCATTGATCATTGTTCAACTTCTACAAAACCAGAAAATGACGCAGCTGATTGCGAAATCAGTCCTGTGGGTAGTTTGACAAATAACTCATGCAGAAAGAAGACGCACCTTTCTTGGCCAGCAGTGTCCCAGAGTTGTAAGGCCACCACCCGATTACCAACACAAATAGTCTTCACAGTAAAATCAACGCCGATCGTCGCACTGAACAACGGCTTGAAGCGATTGTAACAAAACCTAAATGTAAACTCTGAAGATAAACTGCAGAAGCTTTCTTAAAAACGCTTAAAATTAGACGTATAAAGTGAAAAAAGCAGTTTGGTCATGCGGGGCTGTCAGGCATAGTTACAGTATCCATGATTTTTGTTACAAACGAATTTATGTAGAGGTCTTTACCGTATGGGTTCACTACATGTGGAAAATAAAATTACAAAAAAATTTCGGCTAGTAAAGTGAAAAAAACCAATCTTTGTTTAGCCGGTTAAAACGATACGAAAGGTAAGTCGTTTGTAATGCAGTGATTCTTGGGAGTGCGTGCGGCGCAGTGGTTGGAGGCGCCGCTGCGACGTGGAATCGATTCTCGCGTCCATGGCCCACCAGGTCTTCCATCCCTCCGGGCTCGGCAAATTGCTACCACACTTGTCTGCAAGGATAGCAGCACCACTGGCTCGATACATTGGTAGGCCACCGTTAGTCATTGTAAAGGCTAGATATGCATTTACTATCCTCCAAACGATGCTTAATGAAGTCGAATGCATGACGCATCTCTCAGAGGTTGATCAACGCCGAGAGTTTTATCCTTTATCCTTTTACAGTGATTCTTGTGATAAGAGTTTTCAAAGCCTCTCAATGATTTCACCATTTTTTAGGTACTGCATTACCGAACTGCTAAATAGCCAGCTTTCGGAAAAAAATTTGTGTGCTACAGCACGCGCTTGATTTAACTAATATTTCCTGTTTTGTTAAGATATCAATCATGTGAAGCCCTTAAGAAACTCCTACAAGCATCTTCTAAGTAGTCAGCATTTGTTGATCGAAAGAAAGCTTACTCTAAGCATCAACTAAGTTTGTTCAAGAAGAGTGGCGATTTTCGGCGATGAGATAGCTTTGTGGACGAAATGCCGATGTTACAGACGAAATTTCGAACTGCTGCTCATCCTGAGAGAAACCGATGTGGAGTAATCGAGGTCCCGATGTTTGCAGATATGGCAAATAAATGAGTTACGGTGACCTACGAATGTATTAGCTTAGAATTTGTATTATCCTGCAGAAATAAGGCACCAGTTTGCCGACATCAGAGTAATGGAAGATTTGATGAGCGTAAGAAGAAAGATTTGAACGAGGGCCGATCCAGTATGTATTGCAAAGCACCTCTACCAACTATACGCACCATTAATGATTCCATGATATTGACTAAGTATTAATCAACTCGGTTAATTTATAATACAGCAAAAGCGTATTCAAGATTATGTGCTTAATAAGAAGCAGCCGGAGGCCCGCTGTGGACGAACCCACCGGTGCAAGAAACACGTCTTTCCAACAGCCGAATCCCCAACGAACACCACTTTGAATATGCGATCTGGTGTTCGTAGATCCTAAAATATAAGCGTTAAAACATAACGCACTAGTAAGTTCCCAAATCTAAAACTCTTTTGTTTCTTGTCTAAGAAAAAAATCTGTTGAGTTGAATAAGATTTTTCTTACAAGAAAATTTTCGTAAGTTTGAAAAGGTAAAAACGAATTAGCAAACAGTAATGTACCTCATCACAGCTGGCTCTTCTTTCTTGTTTTCGCTCCGCTTCATTTAGTTCCTAAAAGAAAGGATTAAGCTAAAGAGCGACATCCAAGTGAAATTGTTCCTTTCAGATCAAAAATCAGTAGCTAGTTATAACGCAACTGAAGCATCTCTTCAGTATTTACTTAGTAAAGTTGTTTAATGGAAATAACAACGAAGCAGTGAGGCATCGGAAAATTAACCAAGGCTTTCCATAATGTTTCCACCAAAGGTATCAAATAACTCTAACTTGTAAAGCAAGGCAATAAAAGCGGAGAAATATCGAATTCAAGAAGTCATCATTTATCGCAACTGCTCAGAAATAGTATATACATCTTCGCCGTCAACATCAAATTGACTGTGTACAAACACAAACTCGTAACATTTACTCGAACAGTATCCCAGAAAAACGAGAAGCGAATTATCTAAGGCTCATGGCTGTAACCAGTGTGCCGTCGACGACAAACATGTGAACGCGCTTAGCTACCACGGAATGCCGACAGGATGGATTTCACACGAGTCGACAAATACACTTGAGCTGCTTGGATGCTATAGCTGTAGAGTTAGCAGTTCGTGCATGATAACCAGGCGCATGAGTCGGGTCGCTCTACTATGGCGACACCTAAGGTAACTTCTGATTGGTGTGACGACGAGAATGGTTGTTGGATCAGACGAGACCATACCTAGATAACTTCGGAGCACTCTATATTTAAAATTGCTACCGCATTACAGTAACTTCGACACTGACGTCTACGAAAACCATTCAGTGAATGGTTATTATTGTAAGACAAAAGTGTTGGAGGAAGATTCTAGCGGGCCTCTATCACAACACTATCAACATTACTGTAGAGACACAAAGCCTGTTAATTTCATCAGTCGTACTCGATCCAGTAGATTTACCTTTTCGACAAAATTTGCGCAAACTCCAAACCTAATAAGCCGGGAAAATAATAGTTCCAGAAAGAAATCAAACCCACATCGGCCAGTGATTGTGGAGAACCACATTGTGAAATGGGTGAAATGTGGTCTAGGTCCGTTTCCATCGGACGAAACTGTGGCCGCTAAAAAATCTTTGAATTACGACTTCGTCTTAACCTAGACGCATAGGATTAAATAACTTTACTTCCATTTGCTTGATATTTGAAAAACTCGTTTTATGCAAGGTCGCATTAAGGGATTACTTTTTCTGAATTTCCAAGTAATATAAAGGAAACGGTCATGCTTAAGGAACGACGTGTGACTTCTTCTATCACTATAGACGACATAAATACTTTCCTAGCTTTCCGAAAGTTCATTGCTCACCTTGATTTTTACCGGATGCTCGTAGATTGTCTCCAAATCCTGTTTCGGGTTACTCTCTTGTTCGGCTAACTGTTGGCTGAAAACATTTGTCACTGTTGGTTAACACTATTGTAGAGCCAAAAACAAGCATCAGAAGTTGATGTTGAAGTTGAACATCAGTTGAAGTTTTCTAGTGGAGTCCATATATAACCACTGACACCCAGTAGATGTTAAGTGATAATGCCTTTCTTTATTCTGTTCTTATTTTTTAAAGTGCAAGATACTTACGAATATTGTGCAGGAAGACTCCTTGTACAGCCTCCTTTACTACTAAGTTTGAAGAAGGCATTTCCAGATGAACATTCTATTAGGGCTTGCACCATGCATTCAACTCTATCTGTACTATCAAGGATGTGAGTGAATGCATATTTTGCTCATATAAAGAGTTGTGCAGATATATTACTATATCAGGTCAGTAATATCATTATAAACCGACTTTCATTTAACCTTGGTATAAGTGAACAATGTACGTTATTTCATTGATAAGCTAACGCGAGGATGTTACCACATTGGCGACCGTGGACCATCGACTTGGATCAGTGGCATTGATGAAGACGAAGACGTCCATACGTTAACCTAGAAAGGTGGTAACAACCTCGTGTTAGCTTGTCAATGAAATAAGGTATCAGATCAATGTTTTATCCTCCTAAACAACTAGCGAACGTGGGCGGCGAATAGCGTGGTGGTAGTGATCCTGTCCATTAAGAAGACGACACAATCAATCGAGGCGTAGGATTGAACGCAACACCCAGAGGTCAAGGAGTCGCTTATCACCTCGGGTGTGAAAATTGGTTACAGTCTTGTTTTAGGCAAGCACGAGTTGGGTCGAACCGAAGTACACGTCTTTATTCCAGGGTCCTTTTAACCACTGTGTTACACGGGCACATTGTGTTTGTATATAACATCGTAGTCTCCATTGCCTCCTATACTCTTTTTTGAAGTTGAGGAGCAAGAAATGCATTGTCGTCATAGACAAGAGAACGCATTAATTCATCGGCCCTGCGGTAAGAGTGATTCCGCAAGACTTGCTTTGTGATTGCGCCTAGGCAGTAATTGTTTTTACGTTGATAATGTAGCCTTAAATAGTCATTGATATAATCCTTTAAAGTCAAGTGAGTCAAATAAAACACGACCATTTTAATTTTTGAAATTAAATTCACTTCGCGACTTGTTATTTCAACGATGTATAGAACCGTTCAGGAATAGCGACTTTGATATTGAGTTATTGTGAGGCAACTGCATGCAGAAATCCCTTTTCAATAGCTTTCACTTTTCATCTCTTTCATTTTTCAAAACCTGAGTGGCAGCAACTGGTTCATCTTGGATTATCGACTTAAAGCAGATTCGTAAACACCTCTTATCATCTGATTTTCACATTTTAGTGATATCACTATGGAGAATATTATATAATGACCCATAGCCATGCAAAGAGGATAAAGCGTCCCGCTTCGTCAATTTCTTACGGAGTCGACTCATTTTAGAATTGAAGAAGTGATTGAATTCATATCTCTAGTGAGTTAAACGCTCTTCTACAATATGAAGTAATTAATATAATAAAGGAGCCTACTTTGTAATAATATTTTGGTTGTGAATGTCATCCACTATGTGAACGTGATCAGACAGCACCAATTAGAATACTCTAGGGTTGTCCATACTTTCATGGCCACTCACTGAATCTTTGTTGACTCGGAAAGCAGAAAAATAACACAATAAAAAAGGAAAAAAAGGATAAAACTCTTGACGTGGATAAATCCCTAAAGGACGCACCATGCATTCAACTTCACTAAGCATCTGAAGCGCTGAAGGTGATCGAATGCATATCCGGCCTTTACAATCACTCGCAGTGGCTTGCCGATGTGTCGAGCCAGTGCTGCTATCCTCCCGGATAAGTCTGGTAGCAATCTGCGGGTCCCAGAGGATGGCAGGCTTGGTGAACTTGGGACGTGAGGATCGATCCTATGTCTGTTGCAGAGCACCTCCAACCACTGCGCCACATGTGCCCGTAATGAAGGAGGATAAATGAGTCAATCCGCGGGTTTTTCTCAGTTTGTGTTCACTAACCAATCGTAGAAGTTTTTGCATAGTTTGCACCCATTGACCAATCATCACGAAACATGTGACTCGTTAATAATAAAAATTCCTTCCGCGTTGGTATAGGAGACGGTATACTTCAGTATGCGAGGAAACAACGCAGAGTAACTGAGTATGGTAGCTGCTAGCGACACCGTGATTTATCCTTATAGCTATTGTTAGAGCTTTCTCTAGGTTTTTCCACAATGTACTTCGACCACTACTGGTATGACGATTGATTTCGTTTAGCAAACGTTCAAAACAACCGCGATATATGAAAGCTCCTCTAGCACAGTAGTTAGAGGTGCCTTGCAACGTGATCGCACGTTCAAGCCCGTTCAATGGGATCACCAAGCCTTCTATCTCTGCTGGGTTACCAAAATAGCATCACTTATCTGGAAGGATTATGACATAGGCTCGATACACAACTGGGCCGTGCGAGCCACTCCAAAAGCCAGATACGAGTTCACTCACCTCTACTACGATACGAAATCGAATGCGTAGCGAACCTTTCAGGTTGCCATGAAAATTAGGAAAAAAAGGGATTGAAAACGAAACGTGGGAGAGAAAGCAGTCTACTTCGAGTCGTTCGCCTCATTGGTTTACAGGATAATAGCCATATTCCTGTTAGTGCAATGAGTTTCTTAGTTACGTGTCAATACGATGAACCTCTTCACTTTGTGAAATAAAACTGGAATTTTCAATAACTGTCTAGATCCATATCCCTTGAAGCGGAATGTTCCTAGGTTTTTTTCTGGAAAGAAAAAACGAGAATGGTTCTGCTACAGCTGAAATTATTCACGGGAATCACTGAAGAACTACAGCTTTATTGATACAAAGGCATCTACAGGTTAATCTAAAGCAGATATGAATTACTAACGATACATATCAACAAGATTATCTACACTGTCGGAAAGACTAACGACAAAGACACAGTGGACCATTAATTGGGATCATTGGCCCTTAGGAAGGCAAAACGACGTAAGGTTAGTCGATTAAACCTTTGCGTTAGCCCCGTCTTAGCTTATCAATGAAGGAACACATTGATTAGCCATGCCGAGGTCAAAGGAAAAGTCGGTTTTCGGAATGTCGATTCGCTATTGCTACTTACTATAATACCAACTGCTGCAGGATGAGCTGTCCGTTGGAAAAAAAAATTGCTATCAACGTCCAATCAGTCTCAACAACAACCGCCTTGTGTCGATACGACGACGAAGACACTACATCGCGGGGACAAACGACTATGGACCATTCACTCAGATCATCACCTCTAGGAGGACGAAGACACGCAGCACAATCTTCTTCACAGCCGTCGTGAGTCGTCAACCATATGCGACTCTGAGCGGCTGCTCTTCCTCGGTGGAAGACAGGTGAAAAAGCGGCTCTGAAGAAGGCGATTCTTTCGAAACGTCAGCTACGGTTGTGTTGCATGTGTGCTATTGCATGGAAGTTAACGTATGTTGTTTGAAAACCTCGCGATTGCTGAGAAAGAAAACAACGAATTTTTAGTCCAATGCCGAGGTTAATAGAAAGTCAACCCTGAAAACGAAGACGTCCAAACACTAACCGAATAAAGGCTTTTATCAACCTCATGCTAGCTTGCCAATGAAACAATACATAAGAACAAGGTTTTAACATCGTGCATTACAGATAAAGTCGTTGATTTCGCCTCGTGTCCACAGATAAGCAGGCCTCCGTACTCCCTAAGGGTTGGCAAAGATAGAAAAATTACTGCGTAGGCATTCAATTATTCTATAATGCTTAATGGGGTGGAATGTGAAGAGCATTCCAATGGATTGGTTAAAGCTGAACGTCTCACACTTTACAATCCTTTGTGCTTGATTATGGCAGTGCTAGCTGGGCTCGTGGTGAGGATCTCTAAACATTCTAGCACTACTCTCTTTTAATTTTAGCAAGAAGCAGCAGATTTTTTTTGTGAGGTGGCTGAGTGAGGATACCTCATTCGAGAAGATGGCTCACTGAGGAAGATCTGGCTCGACACGAAGGCGAAGACGCAACGTCGAGGCGAACAACAAGCATGGACCATCGACTCGGATCACCGGCTCTGAGGAAGACGAAGACGTCAAAACGTTAGCCGAAAATAAATATATTTATCAACCTCGTGCAAGCTTATCAAGAAAGAATACAACCAGCAGATTGTCTAGCATTCAACATATCAATGAGAACAGAAGAGGACAGATCCTCTAACTGCAGCCGAATCCACTCATCACTTATTCCACCTCGACGGGTAACAGTCGCAGTGCAATGGTACGAATGAAAGAAGTATAGAATACTACACATCATCTAAGAAACGGGTATCTAAGCATCTGGGGATCAGGCCAGCTTTTAAGCGTTACTGAAAAAGTTGCCTTAGAATCAGAAAGTGGTGTGTTTGTCATTTACCATACGATTCCGATGTCAGCAGCTGAATAGCACAGGAACGATTGTCGGATCAAATAGACGGCAGTCGTTACCGAACCAGCCACTATGAACTCAGAAATGGTGATTTACCGCAGAACGCTACACATGCAAAAATCTATCCCGAAACATGACGAGTTATGTAATAATGATTCTTAATTACTCCGTATATAAAAACAGGAAAAGATGTTCCACTAAATGGTTGTCTTATGAGAGTGCTGTTATCGACATATTAATTAGATGGTTCAAGTCTATAAATCCGTTTTCTACACAAAAAATCAAGAGTTGAGAACCAAAAACATCAGTAGTGTTAATGAAAGGCCATCATGTTCTGGTTAAGGCCTCGCACTTTCTTGATTTTATAAAAGAACACCGTGGATTATGCTGATGTAAAAAGAATTAAGTTATAAGAAAGTTTAAAAAAGAACAAAAGTGTTACTTCCTGTTTTATTAGAGTGCCGGTTTTTCTACAAATCTGAATATAATAAATTAGAGAATCGAAATAACAAAAAGCATTTGCATTCGTTCGAATGGAATAAACGACGCCAATCGGAGACAACAGGTGGATGGGAGGGGAAGGTAAGGGTTGTGAAGACCCGTAAAGTGAATAAATAGGCAACGGATTACAAAAACTCCTACAAGTAATTAGGTGCAAATGAAAGCCGACGATTCAGAATAGCGAAGGAATTTGATACATTTCGTTTCGATCACATCGAATGATCCATATCGAATTGACATATTGCCGAAATCTAATGCACTTAGCGAAAGGTCTGTTGCTTCTTTTCCAAAGGATTTTAAAGAAAGTTTCACGTGCAGCAAAAGTGCACGTAAACTCAACATGTTGAGTTTTCGTATTGCCTTTTCGTAGTCTACGTTGCTGAGATATTTGCAAAACTCTGGACCGCAGGTGTCTATGGTGGGGAACGAACGCGCTAATGTCCTTTCCGGGGAGTAACGCGTTCACCACCACACCATGCGGGTCCTTCGTTTCGCCTGTCTCTCAGCTATTTCTATCGATCACCTGCGGTCCAGAGTTTTGCAAATATCTCAGCAACGTTGTGGTTGTATTTCGCTTAGTACCCTGCCGCGAAATTATAGTAGGCAGAAAATAAAAAGGTATATCAAAGTCTCCTATTTAAAAGTTCGCTTTTGGAAGTATTTGTCGGCCAATGGAAGTTTACATTATCAAAGACGGCAACAAAGAAGTTCAAGAGATGAGCCTTTCATAATTTCTTTTCCAGAAGACTGAAAGGACTTTTGAGTTCTCCACTTGAGTTTAATTGGATGGGAGCCTTCGTGCATTCAACATTAGCATTTTTATTACAGAAAAAGCCTATACACGATCGATCCAACTCAGAGTGCCAAGTGCAGAATGTTCTACAATATGGACGAATAACAATACTATACGACTAGTTACAAATAATAAAAAAAAATCGGCAAGGGTCATAAAAGCTGAAAAACTTGCTAAAAGATGTTGGTTCCGTGCTTCTGATTTTTTCGCGTTTATATGATTCCTTTTCACATACGGCGCAGTGCGCAACATTTCATGCGACTCACGTTAGTCATTCGCAAAGACTTTCGGATTTGTTTCAGTTGTCACTTGAGGGCACTATCTTTTTCAGGCACATCGTTAGAAACTAGTCGAGTTGATTCTTCCTAGAAACCTCCTGTAACAATACTAGAGTGCTCCTGTTTCGTCATAAGTGACAACCTTCCGCCTATGTGGACTGGGCTGACCTCTCGCCAGATAGACCTGGAAACCATTTGAAGACAGCGGACCAATGGGGACTTGGCCAACCCGGGTTCGTTTGTCCTGGGTACAGTCAAATCAAAGGGCAAGCATTTTTTTTCAGAGCACTACCAATCACTGTGTTACATGCTGCGCTCTATTTATAAAGATTTTACAATTCAAGTATATCAAGCGAGCTGTTCGTGAACGGGAGTTTGTGGACGGATTTTACTTTTTCTGAAAGAACTAGAGGACGCTTGCGTTATAACAAAGCTATAGGAAATATTACTAAATATTCAGTTTTCGGAAGTGTTCTGTCGGCTTTTAGTATTGTCTTCGCCGACAAGATTAAAGTTTATCTATGGCATCACATTAGAATTCATGACTTCTGAGACTCCTTTCGAAATCGTACTTGGTTGTTGAAATCTTTTACAAAACGATGTC